CCCCCCCCCCCCAAAGAAAATTAACTTTTTAAATTCCCCAATCTATCAAAACCTCCCCCGAGCCCCCTTATCATCGCGACTGCGAGGAGTCCTCCTTCTTATGCATCTCAGCATGAATGATTCCATCGACCTGCCTGGAGGCACTCCCGGGTCCAGGGCCAGCCCGATGATGCATATGAAGATTGCTGAGTGGTCCAGGGCTGGGGTCCTTGCCCCTGAGCGCGGCGACATTCTGATTGTACCCAGCATAGAGTTTGGCCCTCTCCTCCTCCTCAGCCCTGAAGGCAGCAGCCGCCATGAGAGGATTGTACCTCAGCTGCTGGAGTGCATCGTACCTGTAGGGATCCCTGAAGGGATCAGGCGTCCAGGGGCCAGGTGGTTGTCCAGGCCCCGAGGCCGCTGGAGGTGGTGGTGGAGGCTGGAAGTGCTGCATTGGATGGCCCAGTGGCATCATAGTCCTGGACATTCCGTGTGGAATGCTGTGGGGATGCCTCGCCAGGTAGGCGTGATGTGGATGGTGATACCTCGGGTCTGGGATGGGACTTGGGCCCTGCGAGAGCCCAGGCCCTGGCACACTTGGGCCCCTCGACAGCATCACAACATCGTCGTCCTTGCTCCTGGGCTCCTCCTTCACTCGTACCTCGCTGGGGTCCATCGTGCCATTTCTCAGGGGTGATCTCTCCCGCCCCATCATCACGTGCTGACGATTCTGGTGCATCAGTCTCTCTCGCTCCATCTCGCGTCGCTCCAGCTCCCTTCGCTCCTTGTCACGTCGCTCGCGCTCACGCTCAGCTGCCTCCTGCTGCTTCCTCTTCTCCTCCTTCTCACGCTCGCGACGCTCTCGCTCTCTCTGCTCCTCTCGCTCGCGCTCTCGGCGCTGACGCTCGAGCTCCTCTCGCTCGCGACGCTGACGCTCGTGCTCCTCACGCTCGCGCTCACGCTCACGGCGCTGGCGCTCGAGCTCCTCGCGCTCTCGACGCTGACGCTCACGCTCGCGCTCACGCTCTTCGAGCTCGGCACGACGGTCGATCGGAGGCGGCTCCGGCTTCAGGGTCCAGGAGACTGTTGTTGGGGGGAAGCCGGGGGCTGCTCGCTGGAGGCTGCAGGGAGAATATATTTTAGTTATTCATTTATTTATTTATTAAGTTCCCGATAGGAAGTTATTGGCTTCATCGTGGAAATGAAAAATCGTAATTTCATGAAATGTCGACGAACGCGTAGTGCGATCGAAATGAAATTGGTCACGATCGATAGGCATTCACTCTTGCTTAAGACTGGATTAGGTTGGGAGAGAAAACCCCCACCCCTTTTTGAGTTTTTCAAAAAAGAAGGGTCAAAATTGAAATTCGGGGAATAGGAATTTGAAAGAAGAAATGTTTCTGAAGTTTTACCTGTATGGCATTTTTGGATAGATATTTTCAAAAAGCATTATTAATAAAGTTTAGGAAATGCGCAAAATTAAATGGATGAATTACTGAAATAATGGGTTTTATTGATTTATACTGAAGTATAAAATTCAATGTTCTTACCCTCTCCAAGGATCATGAACAGCTGACGTGAGTCCACTCAATTGTGACATGTCTCTGGTAGGTGGGAATGCTGACAACGTCGGGAAATTTGGATTTCCTCCACCATACGATGCTGGATATCTCCCAAAGGGTGACATTCCAGTTCCTAGAACGAGAAAAAATCGTATTTTCCACTAGTTTCAACAGTTCCATCTGCAATTAATTAGTCAATCACCGAATTGGATAATTAAATGGAACATAAAAAAAACAGGATCAATTTGTTATCAATCGCTTCCCATTTGTTTATCGTTTGTTTATTCATTGTTTTTCTATTGTTTTTTTTACTTTGAAACTCACTTTAATTAAAATTAATGGAAATTGATCTATTGGTTTTGATTGAGTTCTTGGAACCAAGTTTTTTTCTTCGAGGAAGACTAATTATAAAATCAACAGAAACGATTGTTTTTTAATAATTTTTTTCCGCATGTTTTCAGTGACATAATCATTCTTGAATAAATGATTTAATAATGGATAGCATTTGAGGGAAGATAAGCAGATGGGACTACTACAGCCTCAGCCTAGGCTGAGGCGCCCCAAACAGTAGTGGAGAAAAATATAAAATTGTGGAATCATCCACAGCCAAGTGGATGACTCGCTAGCGTGCTAGTTTGTCGTGTGGGCGACCGGGGTTCGATTCCCCGTTGATTCGCAATTTTTCGGAATTGGCTAACCGCAGTGGCGAAATTGGCTAACGCGCCAGTGTCAACAGCTGATTTTAAAATTTGTCTAAAGAAGGTTAGACGGAGAAACACCAATTCATGTTGACATAAATACGTAAATACGCTGTAAGGAGTTGCACTAAGTTACTGATGTATCTTAAAATGCGATGAAGTTGTACTGATTTTAAAATTTGTCTAAAGAAGGTTAGACGGAGAAACACCAATTCATGTTGACATAAATACGTAAATACGCTGTAAGGAGTTGCACTAAGTTACTGATGTATCTTAAAATGCGATGAAGTTGTACTGATTTTAAAATTTGTCTAAAGAAGGTTAGACGGAGAAACACCAATTCATGTTGACATAAATACGTAAATACGCTGTAAGGAGTTGCACTAAGTTACTGATGTATCTTAAAATGCGATGAAGTTGTACTGATTTTAAAATTTGTCTAAAGAAGGTTAGACGGAGAAACACCAATTCATGTTGACATAAATACGTAAATACGCTGTAAGGAGTTGCACTAAGTTACTGATGTATCTTAAAATGCGATGAAGTTGTAAATCTGGAGTTCTCGGTTCAAATCCGAGCTGCGGTAATTTTTTTTCGGTTTAAAAAAATCATAAATATTAAGTTTAGCATGAGAACAAGTACATCCACCTGTACGATTCGGCAATAAATAAAACACACACTTGCAAAATAATTTGTAAGTTTTCCTCGAAAAAATCCCTCGATCAATTAATCATCAATTAAAGAATGAGTCAATCATGGGGTTACTAACGAATTAACTGATCAATTTGTTATTAAAATTTAACAAACTTACCTAAATGCGACGCAGAGGTGGACAAAAAGCCAACAGGATGAGGAGGTGGTGGTGCCCCAGGATGATTAGGAGGCATATTCGAGGGAAAGGGAGGCGCCAGAGAGGGTCCACCCAGCCCTAAACCCCCAGGAGGAGCCCCTGGATACAAGTGTCCTGGTGGCCTCAGAAGTTCTGTCTTGGTCGCCACCACTCCACCAGCTTTAGCCTCAGCCTGTTGCTTCTGCTGGTGATGGTAAATTTCCCAGGCTATTCTCACGTGCATGGCGTTCCACTTTCCAGTCTTCTGAAAAATCAATGACATCTTTTTTTAACACACGAGACGTGAACGAATGATTAATTCCTGCATTCCCGAATGAACCAGACGACAGTCAATAATTCATTCAGGTCTGTTATTATAGGGCTCATAGAAATTTTAAGAGAAATGGATTTATGGGAAAAAAGTAGAAAAATATTGGGGAAAAAATGAAATTGCATGGAATTAAAATTTTATTAAATTTAGTGGGAAAAATCGTGAAAGTGCAGATTTAATTGAAAATTCAATGAGAATAATTGCCAAATTACACTGAACTCCGTTGACTTTTCCAAAAAATTGAATCTTGAATAAAAATTTTAAAGAATTTTAAAGAATACGAAATTATAATAAAAAAATGTTAACACTTACTTTTGGTGCATACGATGTCAAATGATTAGGCGGCACAAACGGTGTAGATGGACCCATTCCAGGATGCAAGAGGCCAGTATTGAATCCTGGATAACTCGAGAGATTGAGATTGCCACGAAAAAATGGGGAGTCAACACTTCCCAGCTTTGGAATGTCCTTAAACTGTTGAAATAATTTCTTTAATTCATTTGAGTGGAAACAACGATTGAACTCGACAAGTTAAAGTCATTGTAATTGAGGTACTGACGATTGGGGGTGGAAACAAGGTAGTCGCAGCTGGTGGAGGCAGCAGAGGAGTCGTGTGCTGATGTACATGAGTGTGTTGATGCTGATGATGATGCATCTCGGTTCTTAAATACGGTGGAGGCCCTAAATTACTTACAGCAACGTTTCTATCTTGGGAAGAGGCTAGGAACCGATTATCCAACTCTCGTCTCAGTAGATCCGTTTGACCTGTGACATGGGTCACCCCTTAATAATTTACGCATCAGTATTTTTTTATAATTTAGAACGATCATCAATTGAAAATTTCTCATTCGAATAACATGAGTTATTCATTTTCACGAATATCTCTGGAACGATAAGTTTCACAAAAAAAAATTCAATTCTCTTGAAACCCATTTTTGAAGGGAATTGAATTCTCAACGAAAGAATAAAAAGAATAGTCTCAGAAACATTCACGAAATAAAGTATGTGAAATTCTCAAATCGATGCTGAAAATTTGATGGATATTTTAAGATGAAAAATGAATTAAAAATACATCGATAAATGTCTGAGATTGATTCGCAAACTCACTTGTTTGGAAGAGTGACTCAGCCGAGAAAGGATTGGGATTCGTGGTGGGTGGTGGTAATGAAGGCAACGAAGTGTGAGGACTGGAACTTGATACTGGGGGTGGTAAAGGAGCTGCGAACATTGGTGGTGGAAAATTGTGCATTCCGAGGGCTGCTGAGGGAGGTGGGGGCGTTGGCCTTGGCACCGATGTACCAGTCGCTGGTGACAATTGAGAACTCGTGCTACTACTGAAACAGAAGGATGACAACAGTATTAACACGATATTTCTGTTTCCAATAAGATAGCTACTAGTTTAATCCCTGAATATCTCTCGAACCAGTGGATTTATCGAAAAAAGCTAAAGGACATTAAATTTAGTGCACTGAATTTCCTGCAAAACATGTCCTTTGACACTTCCCTCTAAACCCAATATTTCCCGGGGTATTTACAAAATTTAACAACAAATTCCTGGTTTGACAGAAATGAAAATAGAAATTTGTCGATAGGGTTTCGTCGGTATCTCTAGAAAGAAGAGGTCTATCGAATAATGTCATAAGATATTTTTTGCAGGAAATTTTCTCAGCTGCAAAAAATCTCTTTTGACATTTTCCTTTAAACCCAGTCATTCCTGAGATATTTGAAAAACTCACCTGATCCATCCTTGAGCCTTTGAATAAGCGGGTAGACTAGAATTGGCTGGGGATGATGTGTTTGGCACACTGACTGGCGTTATACTCCCTCTGCTCAACGTGCTCACGTTACTGCTGCACGTTAATTCCGGCCAAACGTGAAAGTTAAAAAACAACGTCAATTAGTTAAAGATAAGAATAAACAGTGTAACCCACAGATGATAATGATTGTTACCTGTAACTGTCACGCTCGCGATTGGGACTGTGACCCCTCGGTGAATTATTATTGTTGATACGTCCAGCAAGGCTACACGTGACAATGTCCCGGTGTGCTATTGTATTAGCTGTGGTAACTGTATTCGTTATCGTTGACACGCACGTTGTTGTTGCTGCTGAGAGGGGGGTTGAACTGTTGTGATTCGTTACGCTGTTTCCTAATGGGGGTTTTGCTATGCTGTTTGTGTGGGGTGATGCTCTACTGCTTCTCTGTTAATTTGTAATTCATTATTGTTTGTTAATTGGAATCGATTGAGTTGATCTGAAAGGTTGAATAATTAATTGAGCTTGTTAAATGTTGGATTATGAGTGGATTTAGAAAAAAAAAATTCAAACTTCTTGTGAAGAATTTTTTCTTCTACAAAAAATATATTTTTGAATTAAAAAAAAAAATCTTTTGCTGAAAAAAATTTTGTTGTCAGATAAATTTACTTGTTATGAAAATAATCACAAAATTAGGATACAATAAATTCGAATAGGAGTGATTTACTAAAATAATTCACAAACAAAAATTAAATGTCAATGAATAGAAATAAAATGAGTGCAATGAACAAGTAAATTAATTCACTTACAACATCAGCTCTCGAAGAGGCAGAATGGGATGGTGACGGTACAGCAGGTGACAAGTACGGGCTATGATTCAACGAGGCATAAGGAGTATAAAGAGGTGGATAAGAGGGCTGAGTTTGTGGATAAGCAGCCATTGGCAATGAGGGTGNAACCCAGTCATTCCTGAGATATTTGAAAAACTCACCTGATCCATCCTTGAGCCTTTGAATAAGCGGGTAGACTAGAATTGGCTGGGGATGATGTGTTTGGCACACTGACTGGCGTTATACTCCCTCTGCTCAACGTGCTCACGTTACTGCTGCACGTTAATTCCGGCCAAACGTGAAAGTTAAAAAACAACGTCAATTAGTTAAAGATAAGAATAAACAGTGTAACCCACAGATGATAATGATTGTTACCTGTAACTGTCACGCTCGCGATTGGGACTGTGACCCCTCGGTGAATTATTATTGTTGATACGTCCAGCAAGGCTACACGTGACAATGTCCCGGTGTGCTATTGTATTAGCTGTGGTAACTGTATTCGTTATCGTTGACACGCACGTTGTTGTTGCTGCTGAGAGGGGGGTTGAACTGTTGTGATTCGTTACGCTGTTTCCTAATGGGGGTTTTGCTATGCTGTTTGTGTGGGGTGATGCTCTACTGCTTCTCTGTTAATTTGTAATTCATTATTGTTTGTTAATTGGAATCGATTGAGTTGATCTGAAAGGTTGAATAATTAATTGAGCTTGTTAAATGTTGGATTATGAGTGGATTTAGAAAAAAAAAATTCAAACTTCTTGTGAAGAATTTTTTCTTCTACAAAAAATATATTTTTGAATTAAAAAAAAAAATCTTTTGCTGAAAAAAATTTTGTTGTCAGATAAATTTACTTGTTATGAAAATAATCACAAAATTAGGATACAATAAATTCGAATAGGAGTGATTTACTAAAATAATTCACAAACAAAAATTAAATGTCAATGAATAGAAATAAAATGAGTGCAATGAACAAGTAAATTAATTCACTTACAACATCAGCTCTCGAAGAGGCAGAATGGGATGGTGACGGTACAGCAGGTGACAAGTACGGGCTATGATTCAACGAGGCATAAGGAGTATAAAGAGGTGGATAAGAGGGCTGAGTTTGTGGATAAGCAGCCATTGGCAATGAGGGTGGATAGCTGGTGGTGGCAGCTCCATTTGATGGAGCCGCTGGTGTTACACCGAGACTGGCAACTGCAGGACTAGTTGTATTGTGACTCGACGATACCAGGGGTACATTTGGGGGATGTAGAGCTGGTATTGTCGTGTGTGGCTGCTGGGGCAGTGATGGCAGTGGATGAGCTGGTGATGCTGGACGCTGCTGGGGAGCTATTGCACGAGGATTCGCTGCTAGCGGACTAGTCATCTACAAAAAACAAATGACAATACGTAAGATATCCCATTTTTCCCATATTTTAAACTGGAAAATGAAGATGAAATTTTGAATTGTGAAAAAAAAATAGTTATCTAATTTAATTGATTGAGTTTGTTTGTTAATGGATTAATTTAGCAAAAAAAGTCATAAGACATTTTTTATAAGAAATTTACTTCTCTTCAAGAAAAACCTTGTGACATTTTTCTCTAAAATCACCCATTACCTAGATAATTAATGAATTGTTTAGTAATGTTGAGTTGAAAAAATGGAAAGTTCCTAAATTTAATGAACGTAATTGTTCAATTAACTCGTTAACGAATCAATTTAGGAAAAAATGACATAAGAGATTTTTTTAAGGAAATTTTCTCCTCCACAGAAAAGATCTTATGAAATTTTCCCCTAAAACCCTCCATTATTGAGATAATTCTATATTCAACACATTTATTTTTAGATTAATCATTGGATTAATCATAAATAATTATTGTTAATTCAATTGAACTTACGGGTGGTTGGGATATGTGTGGTGGCAATGTGGGACTTGGTGGACTCGGCGCCGTTGGTACTGGTGCTGAGGCAGGCACAGGTGGGGGTATTGGGGCTGGTGCATCCGTTGCTGGATTTGAAATTTGTCCCCCAGTATCCGGAGGCGTTCCACCAGCACCATTTGCTGGTGGTAATACGTGTGGCGATGATGATGGCAACTCGTCTACCGAAAAAATAATTCAATCAATTAGTTCATCTAATTATGTTTTAACGAATTTCCAGGGGCAGGGGTTGGGGAGGGGAATTTTAATGAGCACCGACGATGGATAAATCAATTTACTTACATTTACGTGGAAGAGGTGGGGTAGAAGATTCAAAGAGAATCGATTCGGCATCTGAACCCTGAAAATATCAATATTCAATTACTCTCCCTCTTTTTTATCGCTCATCAAAATTTTTTTAATTGAAAATAAAAAAAGCAAAACCAATTTTAAATTGTTTTCATCGATAAAAAAATGTAGTGATAATGATGTTCAACGCACCTTATCGTCTTCCCCTTCACTATCACACTGGAAGAAAAATCAAAGGAAAAAATCATTAATTCGTAAATTTCAATTATCTGCATTGAACATTAATTGAGTCACTTGAGCAATTAAATACTTACGATATAACCTTTGCCCGAGCTGCAGTGGCTGCTGGCCTGTGGGTGAAACAAATTTGTTAAATTAAATACTCAGAAATTTAAACACAAGGACGAGACGAGAATTTTGAATGAGAATGAAATAATCCCGAGTTAATGAAGTAATATATTGTCTCTTTCAATTAACGTACATCACTAAGGTGGTCCCTGGAACTATCAGCGTCCTGGCTATCCCGAGGGATGCCAGGGCCATGCAGTTGTTCCGACGCTCTCCCGCTGTCGTCACTCGTTCCTGCATCGAGGCCCTGAAAATAAAATTAATTAATTAATCAATTAATTTGAAGACAGAGTCTCCTGACAGTTTCTGAAAACCTGACTATCTGTAGAATTGTTTTCAAAATAATCTAGATGGTTCTTTTTTTTTATAATAATTTTATTCCTCGAGGTGAAATGCCAATTGTGAAAATAATTTAGAAGTAAATATCAATTACATTGCCTACAAAAAAAGTCTGAAATTTTTTCTTTAAATTATTAATTATAGAGATAATGAAAAAAAAAATAGAGGAGATGAAGAATTATAATTGAAGAATTGAGGCACTTGATTATTTTTCTGGGACAGAGAACATTTTATTAAAGTTTTTTCATACCTGATTGAGCGTAGAGGGTGTCAGTATGGAATTATGGGTGTAATGGTTGTGCTTGAAGTGATTCTTAATGTGATGATCGTTGTGACGATTGTTCTGACCGGTATCCACTTTTGGTTTTTCCTCTATTGTCAGAAGCGAGTGTAGCTTCTTCAGATTACTTTTACCAGCTAACTTTATTGCACTCTGTAAAAATAAAAAATAAAAAGTTTAATAAATAAACAGTTGCATTGCCATAAAAATTCCCATAAACTAATTGAATTTTAATCGTATTATGTCCAATATCCGCTCGAAAATCAAATTAAATATTCCAATATTATCTCCACATTTTTACTCCCCCACAACAAAGGAGAATTCGTAGCGATCTCCCGTCTAAAAATACCCCGCCGTCTTCAATATTTAATCCTGAAAACATCAATGAATCCACCCTCCCGAACGAAACTCCAGACAAAGAAAAAAAAACCGGCTCATGAATATTATCCCCTCTTTACCCACATCTTCAGCGAGAAAGGAAAAAAATCAAATTCCGTTTCGGAAGAATGAAAAGTCTCGAGATCTTGCTGGATTAATAATCCTTCATAATCCAGGAACATCCCAAACAGCTTAATGAATCGATGAATCGTTAACGACGTAATTCCAATAAAACCCGCTAATCAATTCGGAACCTCTAATAATTAATTCATAAAGTAATTGTTTTATCAATGAAGCAAAACAAGTTGTGTCAAGAGAAAATGTGGAGGGTAATTTTTTGCTGTGTGTTGACTTCTCCATTCCTGGATTTTCACTTCCCACTTTTTTCCCTCACCAAAAAAACCAATAAACTGTATTTTAAAAAATTCAAGATTTTTTGCAATTAACAATGCAAAAGCAACGCAAAAATTGCTCAAATCCTGGATTTCCACTTCGCACTTAAAACCCCAAGATTTTAAATTTCCCACTTCACTCCTGAATTTTCCCCTCACCAAACTCCATAAAAAAAATTGAAGATTTTTTCTCAATTAACATCACAAAAACCCAAAAAATTTTGCTCAACCCCTGAATTTCCACTTCACACTTAAAACCCGAAAAACCTAAATTTTCCACTTCACTCCTGAATTTTCCCGTCACCAAAGAAAAGACCAAACTCCATTAAAAAAATTCTAGAATTTTTTCCCGATTAACAACACAAAAACTCAAAAAATTTCCTCAAATCCTGGTTTCCACTTCACTCCTGAATTTTCCCCTCAACAAAAAAACCACCAAACTCCCTTAAAAAAATTAGATTACGATTTTAATCTGATCTTCTCTAATCTAAGATTTTTCAGAATTTAAAAACCCAAAAAATTTGCTCCAATCCTGGACTTCCCTTTCACACTTAAAATCCCCAAATCCTAAATTTTCCACTTCACTCCTGAATCCCACCCCCCATTAATCCACCCCCGAGGTCCTCACCCAGAAAACACCAAACTCCTTTTAAAAAAATTCAACATTTTTTCCCAATCATCAACACAAAAACCAAAAAAATTTGCTCAAATCCTGGGCTTCCCTTCCCCCGTAAAACCCCAAAATTCTAAATTCTCCACTTCAAACCTGACCCCCTCCCCCCCCGTCCCTCATCCACCCCCAAGGTCCTCACCAAAAAACCCACCAAACTCCATGAAAAAAATTAAACAAAAATATCTCATGTTTATCCTGGCGACGTGGTGGCGATAGTGTCGTTACACCCTACAGTTCCCCACACATCCACAGTTGATGTTGTACTGAAAGAGATCCCAGGGTATGTGTTTCCCGTATGCAATGGGCAGGAGAGAGGGGGAGAAAATCGTCGAATGGGCGATAGAGTGAGAAAAAACGAGTTGTGCAAAAGTAAAAAAAAGCGAAATGCTGGGGGTGAGGAAGGGGAAGGCCGAGGGGATAGGGGAAAGAGGACAGAGAGAATAAGGTAGCATCGAACGAGTCGTGATCGTGAGGACGAGGGAGCGGCGGGAGGCGGGGGGGAAATCGCGGAGTCGCGACTGTGCCGGAGGGAGGGGTGCGAAAAAGATGGAAGAAAGGAGAAGACATTGACCGAAGTTAAACAGCCGCACACGACAAGGGATATCTGGCCAGCTGGGAAGATGCTTGTCTCATTTTTCCACCTCTCCAGCCCCTCACCTTTTAAAAGCCCAACCGTCTATCCCATTGGGCTCTTTTTTTAATAGTTTTTTTCTCATTGAGGGGGGGAAAAAACGAGGAGAGGAGATAAGAGATTAAAAAACACGTTGTACAAGATGCCATTGCCAAAACAAGGCAATACACCTGCGGGAATTGATGTTCAGGGCTTGAAGTTGAAGATATTTTGCTGGTAAAGTGTTTTCCAGGGGTTGGGGGGAGGATCAAGTGGATTGTTGACATTTTTGGGAGGAGGAGGGAGTTGAAAATATTAAATGAAGTCAATACTGCAGGTCTTGTTGATGTTAAAACAATATTATCTTGATGGTGCGTTATTTTGAGGAGAAAGTATTAAAAGCGCAATTAATTCTTAATATTATATTTGACACTAAAAAGAGTTGAGACATTGTCTTTTACTGTTAAATTTCATCATTTGGCGGGAGGGGGGGGATTGTTAAGAGATCTCTTTTAATAAATAATCATTTTATTAAAAGAATTTGGAGCGAAATAAACAATAAAAAGAGTGCAAATTTAAAAAAAACGTCCGCGGAAAAAGACACGTGATAAAAGAATAACAGAATAGTTGAGAGGGAGGAAAAGAACAAATACGTAGCAATATTAAAAAATAGAAAATATTAAAAGAATAATTAATTCTTAATATTTAACCCTAAAAAGAATTGAGCCATTGTCTTTTCCTTTTAAATTTCATCATTTGCAAAAATTTCCCGTTATTTTTCCGATATAATTTGTTTTTATGAAAAAAATTAATAAAGAAATAAATAAATAAAGAAATAAATGGATCTCGTAAAGAAAACTGAGAGTGAAATGCCTCTCCTATAAAATTTTACGAATGCAATAAAATTTTCTCTACGAGAGAAGTTACAAATTTACACTGAAAGTTTTCCCCGTCGAAAAAGCAGTTTTGATGAATATTAAACCCAGGTCTATCCTTTAGAATTTTTTTCCATGCGAATTCCATAGAGGGAAATTAATAATACTGATGAATACCACGTCGAAACACGTAACTGCCTTTTCACTTATTAAAACAATTTGTACTGAAGCTAAAATGTCTCTGACTACTGCTAATATATCTGTGACCTAAAATATAAAGAATTTAAATTGTAGATATAATTGATTAAAGGTGAAGTAAGACTGCTGCCACCTGTCCTCATTTTTCCAATTAAGTAAGAATCACTCGACTGCATAATTGAATTACTGAAAGCTATTACTCTTGAATGATTAATTTCAGCTCTTTTGTGTATCATTAGGGAACTCCAGGGAATTAAAAAACTAGTTTAGTTGATTTTTTCGACATGAACAGACAATTTATATGTTTGTTAAGCAAAGTTATTCTAATAAAATTACACAGAAATTGTCGAAAAATTCGAACATCATCTCAAGACTAAAAAAAAGAAAATTGAGTCATGAATGAATGAAAAAATAATTTTTATCGATCAAAAATGATGAACAATTGTTTAAAAAATGTTCCTAAAGCAAAAAATTTATGAAAAAAATCTTTAAAAATCTTAAGATCATCTCAAATCCATCTAGAGAGCAAATCTGGATCACTTTGTTGCACGAAATAAAATTCTTATAAATGAGAATCCCTAAATGAATGAAAAAATCATTTTTAACGATCAAAAATGATGGAAAATTGTTTAAAAAATGTTCTTAAAGCAAAAAAATTATGAAAAAAATCTTTAAAAATCCTAAGATCATCTCTAATCCATCTAGAGAGTAAATCTGGATCACTTTGTTGCATGAAATAAAATTCTTATAAAAGAGAATCCCTAAATGAATGAAAAAACATTTTTTATCAGTAAAAAAAGCTGAAAAATTGTTTAAAAAATGTTCCTAAAGCAAAAAAATTACGGAAAAAATCTTGTAAAATTCTAACACCCTCTCAAGTCCATCCAAAAAGCCAATCTGGCTCATTTTGATACCGGAAACAATTTTTAGAAATGAGAATCGAATTCACAATGACGAAAAATCTATTTTTGAGGAAAAGTAATTGCAAAAAAATCTTTAAAAAATCTGACACCATCCCAGGACCATCTCCCACGTCGCGCGCACCGCGAGAGCCGTCGGAGACCCATGCCAGCCAGTTACAGCGTTGCCACATTGTTCAGTACACCGAGTGCCACACACACACGCCCCATGTTTTCGGATATAATCGTTTACAAATGTGTGGGTCGAGATGCCCATATGATACTCTGGCGCGTGCTCTAATCAAAACTACCAATTGTCAGGGGTGGAGGGGGGTGACCGAGGGGTACATAACACGGATGATCTGTCGTATTAATCAGCTGTAAGCGCTTCAAACTAAACACATAATGTCCCCTGTCCCCTCTGCGCCAATAAAATTATCGATTTTTTTTCCGTTCCGGACGATTTATTTTCCCTCTTCTTCATTGGTGATTATACTCTTCAGGGACTAACTGGGAGAATTTTAGGGAGAGGGGAATTTTCGCAAGGATATACCGAACCGTTTTGCCCCAGGGACTGATAAAATACACGTGATAAAAATGAATTTCAGGCGGGGAGTTGGAATTTTTTTTTTATTGTTGATTTTTCTTGGGAAAAAATGGTTTTACGGGAAAATTTCAAATGATATTTTTTGTAGAAAATTTTGTGAGCTACAAATATGTCTTTTGACATTTTTCCATGCATCCATTAGTTTCGGAGATATTTCCAAATTACAGAAACAATTTTTTTCGTAAAGAGAAGAAAATTTCCTTTCAATTACGAATATTTGAGGGATGACGAGATGTAGAGAAAAACGTGGCAGGACATTTTTTGTAGTGAACTTTCTCCTCTAAAAAAAGTTCCTTCAACATTTTCTTCGAAAACTACTCGTTACGAAGATAATTAAATAACTAATGAATGAATAAAATGAAATTGTGGAATTAAAGACCCATTTTGCTCTGGAGATGACAAATGCAGAGATGTTGAATGGTTTAATTTGAACCTGGGGAACTCGAAAAGATAAATAGATCGTGCGCCAGTCTCTCCATCCGGAAATACCCCTCATGTTCATTAAATCAGTCGCAATCTAAAAATTCCGGCAATTTAAAAAAATTATTCCCCTCAAAGTGATTTTGATGGAATGCTGTGTCGCCGAGGTGACGATTTAATTTCATGGAATATTAATTCACCTAATTGAGATGTATTATGTAAGGCTGGCAGGTGGAATTGAGTTATTCTCGGAGGTTTATTGAAGATATTTTCCGCGGAATTTTATCCACTTTCAGTGGAGTTTATTTTTGTTGTTTTTTACTCGTTGCTGTGAGATTAATTATATCATTCCAATTGAACTAATTTAATCATTCATTGTGGAGAGAATTTATCGATTGATTAAAGTTTTTCCAGCACTTGTTGACGTAATTACGAATGAATTAGTCTTCTTAATAATGTAGAAACGTAAAATGTTGACAATAAATTTTTTTTTGCTCATGAAACTTCTGACTTGGCCAGTTTTCAATGAATATCTCGAAATCTAGCCGAGGTAGCAAAATTCTTCTCATAACCTTTTTAGTAGCACTCAATCCGCTCTACAAAAAAGGTTATGATGAAAATTTCGCTATCTCCCTTAAATTCGGAAATATTCCAGGAAAACTCAATCAACGACTAAATTGACTTCAGTCGTTTGCCCACTTCGCTACTGAATTGAATGGGAGAAGAAAAAATTCAGGGAATATTCCCATTTCCTCAAGAAATCATCAAGAACCCATGGAAAAATGGGGTCAGCTCCCCCGGATTGTCAACTATAGATAAATAATCAAATGAACGAATCCAAAAATTCAGTAGATATTCCTAATCACATTGAATAAATAAATTTATCAACTCAATAATCCTCGAAATTGAATGATCACATTGGCAAACAACATTCCCCTGAAATCACAACGCTCCGGTTGAAACCCCAGACTAATAAAAAGTAACTAGAAATGACGTGCACGCGATACATCTCCAATTGCCACTTTATTTTATGTTTACCCTCGCCACGAAAAAATGTCAGTACAAATAAACTCGAGCATCAATTCCCCCTCGAGTGAAAAATCCCTGGGAAAAAAAAGGTCGGTAAAACTGCGAAGAGACTAGAGCAAAAAAAATTGAGTTGAAAAAAAAAATCAATTCACTGCAACTCTAATAAACCATGTCATATAAACTGTGGAGAAACTCCTGAGACTGAAATGGGGCGGAGATCGTTGGGAGTCGAGGAAGGATAGAAAATGGTTGAAAAGAAGTATAAAGGATCGGCTGTCCCATCTACCAGTGGCAAAAAGGATCCTCTGGATACAACAGCCGGAGGAGAGGGACAACAGAAACGTTGAAATAAAATAAAAACGGGAATGAAAAAAAAGGGAAAAATTGTTTGAGAACAAAAATTACATTCTTGGAAGCGAGAAATGTGTGTGAGAGAGATGTGGGGGGGGGGGGGAAGTACGAGTAGATAACCAGTTGTTCGGGAATCTCAGAGCCATTGGTGGAATAATAACAAGTTAAATAAATTAGAGAGAATGGGGAGAAAGGGTAAATACTGGTAAATTTAATTAGAGAAATTCAATATATTGGATGTTCTGAGTGGAAAATTATTGTAATGAAGCTGTGAGTGAGGAAATCGTTATGAGTGAATTAAAATTGAATTATTAATCGATAAAAATTCATTATAAATGAATTAACCTGAACGAAATTTGTCATTCATGCCATGGAAAATTCATAGGACTATTTCCGTAGCTTATAAAATTCCCCACAAAAGCTGAGATAATTAATAACTTGGAGGTAATAATTGTAGAGTTCAATTTGAAATGGAGAATTGACTGCTGAAATCTCTATAAATAAATTAACCTTCAATCAAGAATCGATAAAAAATCATTAGGAAATAATTAGCATGATGAATAAAATTCGTCATTATTATTTGTTTTGGATTTACCTGAGAAACCGGTGGATTCAGGAGGAAAGTTCATAGAACTTTTTTAGTAGCTTACGAAATTCTCCACAAAAAATGTATCTCGACATTCCCTCCCTCAAAACCACTCGTGATTGTGATAATTCAATTCCAAACAAGATAAAAAAACAAATTTTCATCTCTCAATTCTATCAATCAATTAAAGATAAAAATGGTCTACAACAATTCGATAAATCTCACGAGATTAAACGTGTTGTATTTCCAACTGTCACAACCCGATTCCCAATGTAATCCAGTCTTATCTCCCATTAATAGCCACTCACTCCTGGAGATAAAATCAGCAACGATTCTGTGATTCCATCGAGATTATGAATGTCTGAGTGGGGTGAAATGATAATAAACGCTTCTTCCTTTGTCCCCGGGAGTATCTTGAGTAGTAGCAAGAGCGAGTCAAGAGGGAGTGAATAAAAATAAAGCCGACACGACCCATCCCCTCTCCCTATCTACAAAAATAAGCAATAAAACCTCGTGAAACACTCTCCCAATTCTCCCGAAAAAAAGTTGTTTGTTTACATTTTCCTCGATATCTTGAGAGCAACGAGGAATCTCGCGATTCGCTATGTCTTAGTGGACAGCTGGGGAAATTTCCAACGAAAAACATTGGTATCGAGCTCCACTTCCTCCCCCTGTTCGCGTGATATCAAGAGACGTCTCAATCCCCAAAAAATCATCATTTCTGAGTCTCGGGTAATTGTGCAGATAACTACTGCATTATGAGGCATCTTCCTATTGAATTCGCATCGGAACTTTCCTTGAGTGTCTAATGAAACTGATCACATCTTTTAAAAACCCTCATCCATCCCTCGAAAATAAAAAAATCAGTTTTAAATTTTAAAAGGATTGAAATTGAATTAACTTTTGAGTTTTATCTGGCGAATATGGAAAAATTTTTGTGGGTTTTTTCTACAGAATTTCATGAACTGAGAAAAAGTATTTAGATAAATTTTTAGGTTACCCTTCAATTTCAAGATATTTTCAAAAAACTGAACTTTGATTTTGGGCAAAACTGGTTAGAAAGTGAAGCAAATGAATCACATTAAATCAAAAATATTTTCTGATTAAATTTCTCATTCTACAGCTTGAAAAACTGCCTTCAGACTGAAAAAATAATCGTTGAATTTCAAACTGGCGAAGTTGAGCAATTAATTATTGAAATTGTTATCTCAACTTCATCTAGTTGTTCTTCATTTCACCTGACTTTGGGAGACTATTTTGGAAATATCGTCAGACCTTTTGTGTAGCTGACGAAATGTTAAAAAAAACTCAATGAACATTTTTTCCTAGAACAACTTTTTCCAGCTACAACTACTCCAGAATAATTCTCATCGACTATTACCAGTTGTTCATCATCCAAAAATCAAGTGAATCATCTAAGAAACAGTTGAGATCAACAAAAATCCTCAGAAGGTGATTCTCACATCCCCCAACTTCCCTCTGCCATAAAAAACCATCAACAAAATCCCAAATAAACTGCATTCACGTTAAACATTTCTCGAAAAAGCTGAGCTAAATCTGCATCCTTTGAAATTTTACTAAACATCGTTTCTATTCTCCCAAACTCCCTGAATTTCCAGCCCCCAATCCCTCCAAAAACAATAGAAAAAATCCCAAACAAATGGCAATCACCTTTATTCTCGAGAAAAAAATTATTTCCAAAAATAATTTAATAGTAAAGTGGTTAGTCGCTTTAAGTCCACTCATCTCCCAGTTGAGTTTCTTTTGAATAACTCAGAATTTAAGAAAGATAGCGAAATTTTTGCGAGGTCTTCACATTCCTTTCCAAAAAAGATTCCTTGGAAAATTTTTCTAACTCCTTTAGAATTTGAGATATTCATCGAGAACTGGCGCTAGAATGGGATTGACTTAGGGGAGGTTGTGGTAAAATGGGCACTTTTGACTTTTGAAAAAATGTTAATAACAGGTGGAAATGGTGATAAAATTCAATAATTTTTTTCAATGCAAAGAACAATTCTCGCCCTTTGTGATGAGTCAAAACTGAGCGCCATTGATAAATTTGTTTCTGAGTTATGAGTAATTTAAAAAAAGTCTAGTGTCCATTTTACCCCACTCTCCCCTAAACCGTTTGACCACTTCACCCCTGAATTCCCTTCCTTCTTCGTTTCAATAAAATCTTCAATTCAGTAAATTCCTCAATTGACCGAAAAAAATTACCTCGAGGTCCTCATAACTCCTAAAAGCAAGAATAGCGAATCCATCGATGATGTCCTCCTCGAAAGGTGGTTCCTTGCTAGCCCCCCCAGCAATAGTGGACTTCTTCCTGGGCCTGGGAGGTCTGGGTGGTCTGACAGGTCTCTGATGGCCATCCCTGGGCCTGCTGGACCTCGACAGTCCCAACGCCTCCTCCTCCTCCCCACTGTGGCTATCCTCATCATCCCCCGGCCCCTGTCTCACCTGATGCGAGTGATTATGATTCTTAGCACTCGCCAAACTCTCCCTCTGCGCCAAAATCCTCTGAGCCCTCTCGCGTCGCCTGTTCCTCTGGCTATTTCGTTGTTTAACCTCGATCTCCATTGTGATTTAAACTTCTCTAAGATGACAGGTGCACGTCAAGCCCATCCATAATCACAAAATCGTGTGCATCACCTCAATTATAAAAACTCATCAACCCCTCAATTACCGAGCTATCTACTCTTTATCCTCACTATTCCCAGTGAAATCACAATTTCCTCCAGTTTCCAGCATCGATCGCTCACTGGACAGCCAGACAACGCGTTACACCACCGAACTGGAGATGAAATCACTCCACAACTCTCAAAAAACACCACTATCACCCCAAAATAAAACAATCACCACTTGCAATAATACACTTCAACTATCCCTGGAGTATATTCACGCGTCTTATCCCTCGATACGAGGCCCAAGTACGCGCGATTCAGGGCTCTGTACGTACGTGCATACGTATTGTACGCACGTACGCACCTTGACGATAGTTCACCGTTCTTTATGCTCCATTTTGTCTCATTATTCAGGCACAAGGGCTTCACCAATTTACTCCCGAATTTTTTATTACTATTCTCGACTCGCTTATCACTTTGCCACGGATTTACACTCCACCAGCATTCACGTTTTTTTTTTTTATATCGAGACACTGGTCTGTGACCCCGCGGTCCAGAATTCGTTGAACTGTCAATTTGTTTTTTTTTTCACGGTGTTCCAATTATTTTGTGGGCGGTTTTTGGGATTTTTCCCCGGAGGGGTTTACGGGACTGAGGGGGGATCGATGGTTTTTACGGGACAATTGTTGATGTAAAATTTTTTAGTGAGTAGAGGGCACGTACACCGATTGTTTGGAATGGCGGATCGAACAGGCACGCACGGTTGCCGCATCGTGTGGTAAAAATGGCCGTCCGCAAACTAACACACACTTGGATGATATGAGAGGTTTGGAGGGTCGAGCACTCGGTTTTGGCGATTGGCTATTTTTTTTTGGGGGTTCGGAGGGTTTTTGGGGGTGGCGACAGAGGGGGCGGGGGTAGGGGGGCCTGGAGGGGG